AGCGATGCAAGTGATGCAGAATTTGACAGCAACTTCAGGTCTACTCATTATTGGCTTGCATTTCACTATCAGTAAAAAGTAATTTTACTTACGGAAGTATAGATATGAAAAAATACTTCAACATTTGCAATTTTTTGATAAGTTTCGAAATCCATTCAGGAAAAGATAACATTAGAATGATAAACTGCTCAAATCAAAATTTTCGAGCCTAACACTTCAAATGACTTCTAAATATTCAAACAGCATCGAAGAAATCTTCAGTAAATTCTGCAATACCTCAACTTTTCTGTGATGATATGGTACTGAACACCAAAAACACAAAAAACATCGCATCCAGCAAAAGCTTATGCAATCATGAGAGAAGACAACATTCATAAACGGTTTGAATAACTTAACGGTTTAAATAACTTCAGTGCTTTCCTGAGGTGATGGTAAACCAGTTATATGTATGTTCGACAACCGGACGAGCTGCATCGATAATAAGCTGTATTCAAACAGTACAAAGCTTGACAATCTGGCTGTCTATTGTTAAATCCCATTCCAATTAAATAAATTCACATTGAACAATGTAAGAGCTGCGAATATGATGATACATAAGATGATTTTAAACTGTTAAAGCTATTATCAACAGTTCAGGAATCGGTTAACACTAATAATACTTTTAATACTTTTAGTTTTTCAATACTTTTAACAAAAAGCTCAAAATATTATGGAGAAAAAATTGAAGAAAAAGTGAAAAAAAAAACCTCACTTACCATAAGAGCTAGAAAAAAAAAACCAAATTTGTCATAATGGCCAAAAACTTTTGAAATAATCCAAAAACCAAAATGAAATCAATAATGTCTTTGACTCTAAATGATTACTGTCCTTTAGTATTAATATCTGATAATTATTATCTAATAATTAATGTCCGAACAATGAGGAAATCGGAAAGGTTCACGAAAAATGATATAGTTTTTGTAAAGACACAAAACTAAAAGTAAGGATTAATTTACTTATTTTTTGGCTCGTAATGCAGCATATCAAGAATTTTGCCATTACGCACATTCCTTGACATCTGTATTATGCTCTGCGATTCATCAACATGGTGGTTATTGTTCGACTGAAATGAAATCTACAAATTCCAAAGTTGAGGGAAAACTGAATAAGTGAGTATGAAAAGAAGAAATGCTATGCTACTCCCAATATTATTATTTTCGATACTGATAAATTTTCTGGATAAAGAACACAGTTCAAGCTATCCGTTTTCAGTAGTTCGAAGAAGGAATTAGTGCTGAGTTTAAGGTTTTCCAGAAAAAAAATAAGGGATGACCATAAAAAAAAAGTGGAACTGATGAGCTCAGGATTTCAGTACTTGACAGATCATACCTGCAACTTCTCAAGCTTTATGCATCCACCATATTTGTGATGCATACTTGCATAACATCTTCTTTATGCTTATTTTCTTCGCGATCCTCAACGATTTGCCAAATTGGTTTATCGTCATCTGTTACTTTCCCAAATTCACATTCATGAGCTCGAGTCAGTAATTGCTTGCAGACAGTCTTAGCTTCCTGAAAACTCTATGGATTAGAAGACCTGATAAGGAAAACATTATTACAAATTTAAAGCAGAACATCGCTAAAAACTATTTAAAATAAATGCTCTTAAAAAAGACAGTCAATATTGAAGGACGACTTAATAAGTTATACAGATTTTTGAGATATTTAGAAGCTTAGTCATAAGAATTT